GATAGGTTAAATGAAAACTGAAAATAACGAAATAGCAAAGATGGAACAACGGAAACTCTATATTAAATAAGCAACATGAAAATGTTATATAGTTCACCTGTATGTTTTTTTTTAAATGAACCCACTAATTTAAAAAACAATTCTCTTTTTTTTTAGTTAATTGTAAACGCAAAGAGAAGGAATTGTAAATGTAAACGCCAATTGCAAACGGAAGATTCTCCTTTTGTTTGCCTTTTGAATGGCAAACTAAAAATGTTTTCTATGTCAAAAATGTAAATTGAATATATATATTTTTCTCGTGTAAACGCAAACACATAAATTACATTTTAAACAATCGAAGCCTCATTAATCTTTACCTGAGAAACGATGGAGTGTGTGGAAAGTAAACTCTAGCGAACGACTTCAAAGATCCACTTTGGGTGACGTAAGTATTATTGTTCAACGGACGAAGTTCCAGCGACGATATAAACGGTGTCGTTTTGCCTGTTTTGACAAGACAAACTTGAAGACGATCTTGTGTTAAAACATGGATTATCTCATAGATCGTAGCATTTGCTACTCCTTCCAATTTAACAGATGTCCATTTATTAGGACCAACGTGAAGATCAAACTTAGGGATTTTATTCAAACCGTCATAATTCCCATACACAAATGTTCCTCTAATCAAATATTTGCTGTTTGATTTGAGATTGAAGTTGTAACAATTTCTTTGACTTTCAGGGAAGCTTCTTAAGGTCCAAGTCTGTTGTTGTAACTGTGTTTTGTATGAATCGTTGATCTTCCCGATTAATCCACTGTCGATATAATCAGTATCTGGTATGTATGTTATATTTGTTGTCTTCTCTGTATAGCTTGTGTTCTTAGGGACTAATCCGCAATCTAAGCTTACGAAACCTATTCATAAAAAAAATTATAATCAAAGGGATAGAAATTTATAAGGGCATTTTAAAAGCATCAAGGTTTAACGGAAATGGAATAAGAACCTGATTGATCTTGAGCTTGGACTAATTGAAAAATAGCAAAAGTTATGATCGAGAAAAGCAGAAACGCATTAACAGATTTCATTAAGTTTTTTATGCAAAGCTTCAACATTTAGATTAATCAGAATAACAAAGGGAGATTGTAACAAAAAGCATTAAAACGAAAAAGGAGCAAAAAACTATTAGGGAACCAATCCTAATTTTACTTTATTTAGAATAAAATTCAAAAAACTATATAGGAAAAAAATCTCAATTTCCATAATTTTTTGTTTTACTTTTATAGCATAGTTTATACAAATCTTGACTTGTTTTTTTTAAAAAAATTTGATTTCCATAAATTGAACCAATCCTAATCTCTCTTTTTGACTGTTATTTTAAACAGTTAAAACTGGATCAAACATGAAAATGAATTGATTCAATTTTGGATATTTGAGGTCATGTAGACGTCTATAACAAATATATTCGGTCTCGGCTTCGGGTTTTAAAAACAATTACAGGTCTTTGTTAATTAATTAAAATGATGTTTATATCATCATCTACCAATAAGGCATAAAATTTTCTTACAAACAAGAACTTATCGGTTTGGTTTAAGTTTTTTTTTTGTTTAAAATAAAAACGACTAAAGAAATTAAATATAACATATGAAAATCTGATTTGAATCACTTATATTTTTTTCAGAATTATGTTTTAATTATATATATTATATTTATTGGCTTTCAGTGGTTAACTTTGAATTTTGGGGAAAGATTTGTATTATTTTAACTAGAACTTATTAATGTATAAACCGGTAATACAATATCTCTCAAAATTGTGAGAAAGAAATAGCGACTAGCGCTAAATCACTGCGTAGATTGATTTTTAATATAGTGGTATGAGATGACAACTCATTTTATAAATGGCTGAAGCAGTGAATTCACTGAATTGTATTTGATAAAATCGAAATTTAAAGAGAGATATTATTGTAATATAGTATCAACTAACGAGTATATACCAATTATGTAATGGTATAATTCATAAAGAAAACTATATATAGCGTCATAGGTCCATAAGTTCTCCTCTCATGATTGCATATCCAAGTTGTGTTTATTGGTCGCTCATCTTCCACGAGCCACAGCTTGCCCAATTTCTACGGTTCCCCATCATTAACAAATAAAGGTGCTAAATGCTTTTGTGTACACAGATAAATTTAAGGCAAATGTGTTTTTTTTCTTTTAAGAGAATGAGGCAGATCAAATAATGAGGGTTGTTTAGCTTAGATTTTACTAATGTACGGGGATTTATGCGCACTTTTCTGATGGGTTTAAGTGTCTTAGTAAAACTGGTTTATTGAAGACATACAGATTTTAATTTTTTATCAGTTTATTTTGTTTCTAATATGTAGTTAATTTCTATAGCTAATAATCTGTTAATGTTTTTATTCTTTCCATGAATAGTTGTGTGTGTAAAGAAGTTTTGAAAAATTATCTGNTTATCTGCATTTATCATCAATGTATTCTTGAGTTTTTNGGGTTCTCTCTTCAAATAACTATAGAATTAATCATATTTTGTCTCTTGCAATTTTGTTAAACTTAGTGACAAATTTTTTTTAATTAATCAAGTACTTTTATCTTTATAATTAACAGAACAACCAATTTTTATCGAGATGATGGAGTATATGATTTGAATTAAAATGTATAAAAATATGAAGTGATATTTATCATTTCAATATCGATAGTTCCTATTTGAAA